AGGATGAATGCTACATTTGAAGGGAGAATGTCCTGGACTCTTGCCACCAAATGGGCGAAAACCTATCCACTGTACAGCTCTCCTTCCATTTTATCCAATGAATATTAAATGCAAAGGACAGTGGCTTAGCTTCAAAAGAAGTGCTGGAGAAGTCACTGGATACTGCCTAATTCTCAGTTCAATAGTTAGAGAACTGTGCTGGGAACTCAGATACAGGTTTAAACCCTGCTGGGTGAGGGGGCCCTAGAACCTGCATCTTCTTTATTCTGTGGAAATGTCTTAACCACTCTGATAGTGTGCTAAAAGATGGGAGGGTGGTTGTCATCCTCCTCAACCACCGCCATTATTCAGGATAGATGACATCTTTGAAGCAGAATGAGCTGTGCCAGAATATGTCCCACCACAGCTGATCTGCTTCAGTGGCGTTTACCAGTATTGTTGGGGCCACTGTCCTGCAGGGTCAGGGGAACCCTCATTCAGGTTCTTCCAACTACAGATATGCATCCCAAGTCAGGGCATGGCAGCAAGGTATGTGAGCCACAGGAATCCAATGCAGGGGTATTCATGAGGCATGTTTGCAATGAGAATTCTCAAAGACAGCAATAAGGAGACAAGCATTCTCCTATTCAAGCCATCACATTGTGACCATCTTTGGTTGTGGCAATATTTTTGGGCATTAGGCATGCAGTAAGGGACTAGGATGTCTGTTTTCACCCTCAGATACATCCATACATACATACATACAGAGCTAGATACCTGTCTGAGGAAAGAACAGCCTACTGAGCAAAGTCACTAGCCACATGGATGAACACACACTCACTGCATGTGGAATAGGATTACAAACTCTAAGTACCAAAAATAGCAGTTATGTTACTGGGTAACTGCTGTTTTGGCACATGAAGTGAAACAGAATTCTGCCTTATATGTTTTAACCGTGATATGAAATGTCTTATCATCTTCAGACACACCATGGGCATTGTTGCTGCTGTGGGATCTGGGCCTCCTCATGGAGCCATACCTTACTAACAATAAAGAGGTCCTCCCGTTTCACAGCCCCCTCTTTGATTTTCTTCTGAATCCCATCTCCAACTTCATTCTCATTCTGGTACACGTAGGCACAGTCAAAATGGCGATATCCAACATCAATGGCAGCCTTCACAGCCTCTACAACTTTCCCTGGTGGAGACTGAAACACACGTATCACAAAGCACCAACACATTAGTACCTATTTCTTATTTGGCTAGAAACTCAAACATCAAGAGACTTTTACACCATTAAGGTTTTTAAAATTTTTGTTTTTATATAAAATAAACCCCACTATATTTTATACACACATAAATATACATGTGTATATACCAGTAGAAGAGGTACTACTATGTCCTTCAGGGCACATGGCTAGACAAAATGCAGATCATTTCCACTGACTGACATATAAGAACCATTTGATTCTAAGATCTATAGCATCTGCTAGATAAAATGGAAGCAGAAGATTTTGTTCAAGCAAGTCAAGGACTGGACTTGATGGCTCAGCAGGGCCCTTCCTGTCCAAGTCTTGTATTTTACATGCACATACAGAATTCTTCCAGAGACTGTTATAACCATCCCATCTGGGCACCTTTCGGCCATTAAGTCAAAATGGTGCATGCAGTGCTGCATGAAAAAACTCACTTGGGATGACTAGCTTGCGTACTGAAGGTGGCACAGCTGCGTTACTCAGCTTGGACCAGCATGCCCAGACTGCTGTCAGTTACCATTTGATTTAATGGCTGCATCCCAAACCCCATCCTTAATCCCATAGGAAAAGTTTGGCCCACAGTCCATTAAAACAAAACTACTTTACACCATAGCCAGGCAATGGAGAATTGTTCAAAGGAAGCCAATTCTGTGGTCTGGCCACTAGAAAACTGATGTTGCAAGAAGTTGGCCAGATCACTTGATCTCTCTGTCCCTCAGTTTTCTCATTTGTGATGTCAGGATACAAATATCCAGTTTCTCCTGTAAAATCTTTCTGCTTCATAAAGAGAATGCACAGAAAATCTAATTATTAAAAGGACAATGGGAAATATCTCACAGGAGAGAAGGCTGCAGAGATGTAGATGATACTGACCCATTGAAAGATTAATTGGACAGAAACAGAACTGAAACATTTTGGGTTTATGTCCCACTGCAGTAAGGATAACCACTCATGTCTCCCTACTTAAGCCATCAATTATTGTTCAAAGCTATTATGTGCCTCCCTCCCCACAATGGGGTACCCCCCACAGTCTGGAAAACAATGCTTTATGTAACAGACAGGATACACAAAATGTTAGCTTTGTGTATAACAAAGCTTTCTCACCCAGAAGGCAGAAAGCACTGATACCAATTGTTGCATAAAGTTAAAAGAGAAAACTTTTCCTCTTGCTCCACCCTGTCCTTGAGGACCTTCGTACAGCTAGCTTCATTTTCTCACAACACACATTGCCCTGCTCTCTGAATCCCTGCATTTTGCAAACTTACCTGGGACTGATCTCCTGACTGAAAGAGGAGTATCAAGCATCACCCTTCTAATCAGGGTTAGGACTTTTTATACTAGTGATTCTCAACCTTTTGACATGAGGCACCTCTTATTAGACTGACGGCAACCTTTGCAAATTGCCAGTTCTTAGTTGTTACTGGTTTTTTTGAGTGGAGAAAAACATCAGAGCAAGTCTTCTGTTGCAAAGAACACGGAAAGAACACAACAGGCCAGAATGTTTGTAACACTGTGAATTCCTAGTTGAAATCTCTGGGTTTATCTTGTAGATCGAATCATGTTTGCATACCTAACAGTGAGTGGCAACACTGCAGAGCTGCCTACATCACCCCTAAAAGGATCTCAAGGCACCCCCTTGAGAAGCACTGCTCTACACCCTGTTACAACTGAACAACTGCAAAAATTAAGAACTTGATGAGCCAGTGGGAAAGCTACCACGCTCAGTCCTTGAGGGTAGACTACTCAAAATGCAGGTCATTTTTTAATCTGCCATCTAAGAGCCTATATTTGATTTTGGGTGTTGTAGCATCTATTAGATAAAACAATTAGGAGGAAAAGATTTTGTCCAAGCTGCACAGATGGCACTGACATTTGTAGACACCGCATAATCCAGCTGTATCATTATCAATCATGATCTGATTTTTAAAAACACTCTTATTAGTCACGAGTTCAAAAATGTGCTCAAAACAATTTATTAGCGTGAGCAAGAGGGGAGAAAAAAATAAGTAGGCACAGATTTCAGTATATTGGGCAGCAAACCTACAAACTGGCATTCAAAGCCTGGATGGATGAGTCAGGTGCTTAGTACAGAATCAGTATGATCTTCTTCCTTATTATGTCACAGTAGAAGATATACAGAGGAAAGAAACCTAAGAGTTTGCTTATATGAACAGATCAAGGATACTGGGACATGTAGGTTTGCAAATTCTCTATTGCAGGGGTTGGTAATGTTTCGTAGTGGGGGCTGCTTTAATAGAGCTTAGCTCTGAGTGTGGTCTGCTTCCAACCTGGCCTACACCACCCATTCTGCTCTCCCAGCTTCTCTTCACTGCCTGACCACTGCAAAGATGAAACTCCTCCCATAGAAATGCCACTAAAGTCCCCAGGCTCAGTGGACTACAGCTAGCCTGCCACCGGGGATTGCTGACCCTTGCCTCATTGTATTTTTGCAGTCAACAATATTAGCTGATCAACAGCCTTGTATATGATCTTGCTCAGCACACTGCTATGCTGGAGTGCACACCTGGAATATGAACGTTTGTTGTAGGAGCCTTACATCAGGGATCTGCAGTAGGTTAACATCTCAGCTCTCCACCTCACATTAGTGCACGATTGGAAATGACAGGTGTAAACCTGGAGAGTGAGATCATTGCATATAGCACAGGTGGGAGGATTTCCCACCCCACTTTCCTTCAAAAAGCTCTATTTACATATAACTGTCTGGAATTTAAATTATAATGTAAACAACAGAGAGAGAGCATAAGACAGTAATCACTTTTTTAAACAAGTTAATTTTTTTTTAGCAGGACAAGATACTCTGCAAGTGGCCAGATTTCTAATAATAATTACACTTGCTATGGAAACCTTCAGAGGAGATAGAAGCTCTTCATGGACATTTAATTAAGATTCTTAATACTCTTGCAGTTCAGATTGGTATCATCTCTGGTCTGCTTTGTTTTTAGAAGTAAAGGCTGAGACAAAGGCTTTCTTTCAAGTCCCATCAAGTCTGAAGTCAGCAGATTCCAGCTATTTCCTCTCCTTGGTGAACAAGCCAGGATCACACTTCTCTCCATGTTCTCCCTCCTTTTTGGGAGACAGTATCAATAAACATTAAGCAGGCACATGCTGTGCAGCACAACATGCAGAAGGCTCTGGCCTGCCTGAGGTTTCTGGAAGTTACTCTTGCACATCTGTTTTCTTTTAAAGTGACAGTAATGGAGCCATCAGGCACCAGAGTGCGTGGGCGACTGGGACCTCCTGAGTCTGGGGGACACCCACAGAAGCCCGTGTCATCGTCAGGGACGGGGCTGGCGAGCACCCGCAGAAGCCAGCGTCAGTGTTGGCAGTGGGGATGAGGCTGGCGAGCACCTGCAGAAGCCGCCAGTGGTGTTGCAGGCCCTGTTGGGGGGGCGTCATGTGCCCCCCCAACCAGTCGCCTATGCCAGAGTAGTATCTTTGCAGGAAGCAAAGAGTCTCATTTAGATCAGTGATTCTTAACTGGGGCCCAATGGCACCTTCAGGCACCATGAGCTCCTTTTAAAGGTGTTGCACAACATTAGCACCGTTTGCTGCTCCTCTGTGTGTGATTCACAAGATAAATCCAGAGACTTCAAACAGAAATACAGTGTTAAACCTGGCCTGCTGTGGCCTACCCTAGTTCTCTGCAACAGAAGAATCGCTTGATTTTCAAAACAAATAAATAAAAAAAATGAAATTAGGCTTTGAAATGGGGGGAGGGGGTGGGGAAGCTGCAACACTTTGGGAAGTGATGGCTGGTGCCTTGAGCCTGTAAAGGTTGAGAACTGCTGCACTTAAGTCTACAGCTGAATGGCTTTTGTAACAGGGTTGCCAATTTTGTTTGAATCTATTCTAGGAGATTTACCAGCGTGTCTGTGACACACAATGCAAACATGCATATATCAATTACGGATTATGGTTCATACACTTTACTCCAAGGTGGCAAATGCATATGACATTTAAAAACCCCCTCAAAGGACTACTGTATAAATCAGATTCAACATTTAATATTTATTTTAATGAATGCCCTATCATTTAGCTCCTCGGTGACTCTCAGCATCTCCTGGAGATTTATACCTAATTCCTGGAGACTCCAGGGCAATCCTGAAGGGTTTTGTACAGGGAAAGCCTGAGTTCACCAGCACCAGCAGGGCCTCCCAACTTTCCTTTGGGATCCCCCAAAACACCAAAAAAAACAGGCGAGCGATAGTGAAACCGACTGGATTTCACTGGGAGGAAGCAGCAGGGCCCGGTCTCCTTTCCACTGCGCCTACTTGAAGCGGGGCGGAGGGGAGACGAGGCCCCAGCGCTGGGCAGCACCCGGCTCCCCTCGCCCCGTCGGAAGCGTCCGCCATCTGCTCAGCGAGGGGCGCCGCCCAGCCCCGCGCGCTCCGGAACGGCGCAGCTGGGCACATCTGGCCCAGCGTTCCACAGCAGCAGCTGGGCATCACATCTGCCCGGGCAGCGTCTGGGGGGAGGCAGAAGGCGCCGTGCGAAGGGATCCCGGCCCGCGCCTACCTTCCAGGTGCCCAGCCCCAGGATGGGCATCTTGGCCTGGGTGTTGAGCTGCACGGAGGTGGCCATGGCTCCCGCCCGTCG